TGTCTTTGCCTTGGGGAACAACATAGTCTGTAGATGTCGACTGGGCTGACTGGCTTTGACATGTTTGGTCTGTTTTATTGTTTCATGAGTCAGGTTGTCACCGTACTCAAAACCAAGAGCTGAACAGACCACTCCCATAGAGTCTGCTATAACCAACTTTCCCCCCAAAGATGTCCAGTCAATATTTTTTTAGTTGTATGTTTAAGTGGAATTTGTTCTGTTTCATTTTGTGCTCGCTACCTCTTGTGCTTTCACTGGGCTCCACTCAGTCTTCTCCATACCCTCATCAATAAGATCTCCCTGAACCTTTTCCCAGCTCTTTCAGCCTTTCCTTGTATGAAGATACTCCAGTCCCTTAGTCATCTTTGTGGCCTTTTGTTGGGCTCACTCCAGTATGTTCATGTCTGTCTTGTACTGGGGAGCCCAGAATAGGACCCAGAACTCCAGATGGGTCTCACCAGTGGTGAACAGAGTGTGAGGATCACCTTCCTTGACCTTGTGGCAATACTCCTAATGCAGCACTCCAAGGTCCTGTTGGCCTTCTTTTGCTACAAGGGCTCATGTCAACTTGGTGTCCACCAGGTCCTCCTCTGCTAAGCTGCTTTCCAGTGAAGCAGTACACGCCCTGTACTGGTGCATGGGATTGTTCCTCCCCAGGGGTAGGACTTGGCATTTCCCTTTGAACTTCATAGGGTTCCTGTTGGCCCATTTCCTCAGCCTGTTCAGGTTCCTCTGAATAGCAATGCCCCTGCCTGGTCTGTCAGCTGTTCTTCACAGTTTTGTATCATCTGCAGACTTGCTGAGAGTGCAATCAGTCCTGTCATCCTGGTCATTAATAAAGATGTTGAATCATCATTGACTCCTGGGGCACGCCACTGATGACTCTTCTCCAGCTGGACTATGTGTCATTGATCACAACCCTTTGAGCCTGACATTTTGGACTGTTTTCAGTCCATTTCAGTTTGCAGTCATGTGGTCTGTACTCTATCAGTTTGTGTATGGATGTTACGGGAGACAGTGTCCACTGCTTTCCCGTCATCCAGTGAAGTAGCATTTCATTGTGGAAAGCTGTCAGGTTGATCAGGCATAATTTTCTTTTCATACATCTTTGCTTATTCCCACTGTCACCATCCTGGTGCTCTTGGGTGGCACTGACTCAACTGCCTCTGATACTTCATTGAACAGAGTTTCCAGCCCTTCCACTGCTACCAGGACACTGAACGTAGTCCCGTGTTTCTAAATCTGTTCTGTCAGTTCTTACAGTCTATAATTTATTTGCTATAATACCCTAATCAACCTGACTCTCATTTGGCTTGTCATTTTTTTTTTGTTTCCTTCCCTATTTCCTTGGTTGGAAGCATGTTCCAGGTGATGTCTTATGTTTACATTTGAATTATTGCCAAAACAAGAGTGCTGCTTATTTGTTAGAGATGTAGGATAAAGACATCTGCTTTGCACACAGTGTAGGAGGTTTGTAATGGCCCATACTGCCTGTGAAAACTCAGGAGGATGTTGTCTCCCTCTCAGGTGAGCTTTGGTCCCATTGAATGTGCAAGAAAAGCATGGTCAACCTTACAGTGTTCATGCTCAAGCTTGAGAACACTATTTTTCATCCAAGACTTGGTCACTATGGACTTTTTAGCTACACATAATCGATTTGAATTGGGTTTGAAATTGAGAAAGCTGTGTAAAAAGTAGAGGGGAGGTAAGATAGTTGGCTTTGGTAATTTGTGTTGCTGAGGTGTTCTGCTGCACCTTCTACCAGTTGAGGCTTTCAGGTTTTTGAAGGTTTTGACCAGCTTGTCTAACTGCAGTCCAATTTATTGATGACTGATTTTAGTATCACATCTGTTCTTGAGTAAAGCTTTTCAGTGAGAATGTGGAGAACTTGAAGCATTCAGAAGTATAATCTGTGGGCTGACGTGATTCCTCATTATTGTTATTGTAAAGAATTGTGATTCTTTAGAAACATTTTCTGTCACCACTGAACACTGTTTTTGCTTGGGCAGATATGATACTTGAAGATCTTTCAGAGGCCTGTTTAATCTGGGCTGTCTTGGTAGCAGAATGGTTTCTTGCCCATCATACTGCAGTCCAAATTACCTGGACAGCTCATCTAGTGCTACTTGTTAATATTGAAAAGCAAAACTGGTAAGTGTTCCTCTTGAGGACCATGTAGTAGTGAGATGTGTAACTTCTTGCAGTTTCTGTGTCATCGCATGAAAAAAATGTATGGGATTAAAAATATCTTGAATTCCCCATGACCCTTCCCACCTTACAAGTGAGACAACAGAGTTCAGATCTGTTATGTATATGTATCCATGAGAATGAGGATGGTATTGACTATCACTGACAGACAAGAGGAAACTCAGCACCTATATTTCAAACATAAAAAGCTGATGTTCACTTAGTGCTATTTGTCTTTGGAACACAGAGGCACATGGGATGATGACTGGCAGGTTCTTGAGATCCTCATTTGGTTGTTGACATGACTGAGTCCATGTTTTACAGTCTGGAAAGGTGACCAAAATGAACGTGTGGTGCATTTTGAGCACAAATATAGAAATGTTCCCCCAAGGAAATAAAGAAGCTTTCAGAATAATGAGTTCATGTTGACATATTGTGAGTACGATTGCCTACTGCTTCTGTGGATAAAGGACCAGGTGTTTGGCAGTTCGAGTCGTAGTCTGCAGTGGTGTAAACATTTACCATGACTGACACTGTGTTCTGGTCCATTTTCCATGTTTAACTTCATAAAATCATCCCACAGTGTATATTGAAATATAATACCTGCTAATGTGCTTAAAACCAGAGTCTGTCATGAGAGAAATATGTAACGTGGATATTTCTTACATTTTTATACATTTGTAGGTTTCCAAAATTGTTGGGTTGAGTTGGTTGGAAGATGACATTTTTATTTCCAGACTGTAGGTGATGAATGGCTCTTGTCTTTATGATCTGTGACTGCCAGAATTTCCTATCTGTCGGGCAGTATTTCATGTCAGCCACTCAAAAGACAGTTTGGTGCAGAAGCAAGACAAAACTCCTGTGCTTGCTGCAGGCAGTAATGGGGAAATACGATGCTTTGAAACAAGCTTAGAGAATATATTTGGCAAAAATAAACATGATCAGCAGGCTGGAGCACCTCTCTTATGAAGAAAGGTTGAGGGGGATGGGCTTGTTTAGCTTGGAGAAGAGAAGGCTCCGGGAGACATCACTGCAGAATTCCAGAACTTGAAGGGAGCTTAGAAATAGGAGGGAGAGTGACTTTTTACATGGGCAGATAGTGATAGGACAAGAGGAAATGACTTTAAACTAAGAGAGGGGAGACTTAGTTTAGATATTAGAAGGAAATTTTTCACCTGAGGGTGGTGAGGCACTGGCACAGGTTGCCCCAAGAAGCTGTGGAAGCCCTGGAAGTGTTCAAGGCCAGGTTGAATGGGGCCCTGGGCAGCCTGATCTAGTGGTTGATGGGTTGGAACTGGATGATCTTTAAGGTCCTTTCCAACCCAAGCCATTCTATGTTTCTATGATTCATGTGATTCTGTGATACACAGTACAAAAAGCACACGTTTGGAGTTTCATAAGCAGATAACTCTGGTGACAACTTGTGTTCATAATGAAGAAAACAAAGGAAAAAAAGAAAAACTCAGTCTTCATGTTTATATTTGCCTGGTTCCTTTGTTAATGGCTGTATCCAGAAAATAGTTTGCCAGACAGATGATTCTAGCTTCACTTGTATTCGTGGCACCATCCTGTAGTTCTGTTTTTTACCAGAGGTTTTCTGACTTCATCTATAGGCAACAGAGGGAGAAAGGTTACGTTGCAGCATGTGTGCAGCAGCACTTCTGATCAACACTATCCACAGATCAGAATTTTACATTGGTTTAATGGAGCTGTAAGTTCAAGAGCAGGAAATAATACTTTCTCCCATTTGATTCCTTAATTTATGAATTAATTGTTGAATATTATTATGCACTGATAGAATAAAGAGTAACCTGGGAAAAAACTTCTCCAGCCATTCAGGATTTCTGTCTTTTAACCCTGTTGTGCTCTTGTCTTTGTGCATGTTTGTTATGATCTGCAGAGGAGAGGGAGGTTTCAGTGAGAACAGTGTTAGGTTTGGTCATGCCTGGGTGTCCTGACTGGATTTGAGTGAGAGGGAAGATTATTTGATTGCTGCAGGTTTTTTGTGATTTCTGGCATAAAGAAAAAATTCTTGATGAACAAATGAGCCTTTATTGACAAACAAACCTTAAGCTGTTAATAAGCAACACTCGTGGATCTTGTGCAACAGATGGACGAGTATGTAAATACATAGCTATGCTTCTCTGAGTAAACTTAATTATATCAAAATTAAAGCTCGTTTGTTTACTCTTCTTCATACAAAACCAGATGAATCTGAAGGAGGGTGCCTTTTACTTGTCTGGGCAATTGAAGTTGTACGATATTGTCAATCGTACACTTTCTGGCTCTATTCCCATTTCTTGGATCACACCTGCAAAAATATTGTGTGTGCAGCAGATGCAAGTATGAGAATTAACAAGGCATTGCATGTACGTACCATACATGCACAATTTGAACCTTCCTCTCTCTTTGGCCCCAAATATGCATTGAGTAACCAACACTTGCCCAGTGGGCAGTGATTCATAGTTGGCAAATCTTGAGCTGCAACTTGGCAGGGCTGGGGGGGGGGGGGGAAAAATCCAGCAATCCTTTCCACCACATGTGCACAGAAACCTACCCACCACCACCAAAATATGACCTGATGTCATAGTCTGAAATTTATTTTATTCTAATGGGTGACTGTCCATTTTTTTTCCCCCCCTCTCCAAAATTATTTGGAGCACTGCAATTAACAGATGAGTCTTGCTGTAAGGGAAGTGCTTGTTCTTAGCATCTGTCCTTAGCTCTGCCTTTTTGTACACCCATGACTTTCAAATTGTATTTCCGTGTCTGAGTTGCATTCACTGTGGTTTATTTTTTTTTTTTCTTTTTAGTGGACTATATCGTGGAATATGACTATGATGCAGTGCATGACGATGAGTTAACAATCCGAGTTGGGGAAATCATCAGGAATGTGAAAAAACTGGAAGAAGAAGGATGGTTAGAAGGGGAGCTAAATGGCAAAAGGGGCATGTTCCCTGACAATTTTGTGAAGGTGAGTTTGGTGCATTGACTTGGTTTTACTGTGTTGGTGCTGCAGGCTAGTTATTGAAATGGTTAGAATAATCATGATTTGTATTTGTAACAATGTAATTTTTATTTTTATTTTTTTTAACTGGAAGACCTTTTAGATTATTGCATTTTTTTAATATGCTTTTGAAAGCGTTTTCTGTTGGAGTAAGTTCTGCTGTCTGTTCTTGCTCACTTCAGCATTTCTTTTGACCTGTACCCTTTCACTGTGTGTTCTGTCTCCTTCCTACTACTTCAGTGCACTGACAGTTATCTGTAGCCGTGGTTAACTGCTTTAGTGAGATGAACTGATTAAAAAAAAAATAAACCACAAAAAAACCCCCAAACCAACCCCTACAGAAGATACCAAGTCACGAGAGAGTTGGGAGAGTGGGGTCACAACTCAGTCATCTCAGCTCTAATGAAAAACTACCTCCTCAGGCTGTGGTTGTGTGGGTGCTTCAGCCTGGATTGAGATGCCTTGTTTGAAGGAGCAATTCTGCCCTACCCTGTTCACGGCTGGCACTGCCTTTTTCCTGTCTCTGCAAAGGGATGGGGCAGGGAACGTGTCCAGCTAAAAGGTAACAACGAAATCGGGTGGCTTTCAGCTTATTTGATTTCCTGACTGGGCTCCCCATTTGCCAGCAGCAGATATCTGAGATGGGAAGGGTCTGAAGTGAGGGCTGCAGCACTGTCATGTTTTTGGATTTGTCATCATCTTTCTAAACATGATCCTCTTCTCTGGGATCTCTTGTCTCACTCAGTGCTGGGCAACTGACTCACAGTCATTGTCTTCTGCTGTGAGATACTGCTGCTTAAACCTTTTATTTAACCTTTTATATTTTTCCTGTGTTTAAGTCCTAATTTTAATGGAAGTTCTTATTTGCACCTTCCACAATTTTCCTGTTTTCTCTGAAAATTTTCTATGTGCAATATTGAGTATGCACCTATTTATTAGTTACTTACAATGAAGAAGTTTGCAAGGCTGCTAGGTGTGCTATTCCACGTGTAAATTTTGAAATATGGTCATCTGAGCTGCAGATATTTTGTCTTCTTAACTACGCAAGTGTAATGGAGATGTTATGCTTTGCTTCTTTATGCTTTCTGAGCTTTTTAGTAACTTCCAAGGGTAACTCCCATAAATATAATAAAAGAGAATTTAGATATTCCTGTCTCTTTTAAAGTGAAATTAATTATTTGCAAAACAGAATTGTCTAATGTGTCTTACTGTGATATTTTCATATTATTAAACTCAAGAGAAAATTTATTCAGTGCTATAAACACTTCTTTACAGTTGCTTACATTAAATTTGACGATTTTTCTGTTCATCTTATTGAAAAAGCAAAATTACTTTTAAAAAAAAATATTGAGGAGGGATTTAAGTATCTACCTTTTAAAACTGATGGGAATAATCCAGTTGTTCTCAGAGAAGGTCTCTTATTAAGGAAAAGTTTGTATGAATACCTTTCACTTGTCTAATATTTTAAAGTTGTTTGTAGTTTAGTTTAAAATCCATTTGTAGTTCAAAATCAAGTAATTCTACCTTAAGTGGTGTTTTGATGATTACTGTGTTGATGATGTACTTAATTAGCACTCAAATACCATATAGGAAGTAAGCATCAGACATGGCTCTTTGGTTCTTGTGTCAAGACCATCTTTCTGCTGAACAGCAAAGAGGGGTCGAATGTGGCATGTTTCCTTGTTAAATACTAAATATGTTGGGTATTTTCTTGCCCTTCTGCAGCTGTGGCTTTTAGAAACTTCACTTTAAATTATTTCCATCCTGAAAAATCTTTATGCATCTCAGCTCCAGGTATTTTTAACTATATAGCTGTTCAGTATTTGCATGGCATGGCTGGATATCCTGAATTACAGGGGACAGTCAGTTTTCTAGAAGGTGTAAGGTTTTGGAGAAGTGAAAAGGTAGTTGTGTAGAAGAAAATTATCTCTTTGGTTTCATGACAGCAGGGGATAACTTGCCTTCTTGCCATGGTTTATGAGGCTGATCTTGGGAACTTTTAAGATGGTATGCATTGACTGGAAGGCTGTCATGCAGTGTTGGGTTGATGGGGAAGCGTTAATTATTAGGAAAGTGAAAGCCATGGTTTTATTCACAGCCAATTTGCTTATAGTTTCTTCTTAAAAGTTAATTTACCGGTAGTAATAGTTTGAAAGTCTATTTCTGGGAAAGCTGTTGCAGAAAAGTGAGGGTTTTCTGCCTCCTGTTTAATTGTTTTCATTTATGGCTGCAGGAGGTTGTTGATAGTGCAGGATCTATGAAATGCTACTGTGACCAGACTGCTGCAAATGCCAAACCTCAGTGATGAAACTCAAATGTTCCAGCTTGGCCTGGTGCAATGTTAACGCCCGCAAGGTGTTGGTGAACTGCAGGAGGGAGGTGGAAACAAGCCGAAGCAGGGTTGTACTTTGGCCTTGTGAACACGGAAAATCCCTTGAGAAATGGGTTTACTCATTTGTTGCCACACCAGTAGCTCACCACCATCGTGTGGTGGTGGCCTCTGTGTCCTCTGAGCTTTCTATGGGAAAGGGTGTCTTCCTGCTCTAATCAGGAACCTCCCTACAGCTCCTCCAAGAGTGTGTAGGGTTGAGAGCAGAGAAGTGTAGCAAGTTGATTGGGGAGGGTAATGACAAGAAGGATGCTGAAGAGGGACAAATATTGATAGCTTCTCATGATGCACACGAAAGGGAAATGAGGCTGAAGGTCTGATTGATGCCGTGAGGAGGGAGCAGCTGGAAGGACACTAGGCTGGGAGGAGTGGAGGGAACTTGGGTGCATGGGGTGGATCTCCCAGGTTAGGTCAGTAGAAATGTGACCAAAGAGAGCAAATCAGTGTGGACAGGACCAAGGGTTGCACCAAGTTTTACACATTTGGATGCAAAATTCTGGGTCTGTACTTGAATATTTATTACTTCCTGAAAGGATCTTCTTATTTTTCTGTTATTAGTGTAATTCAATGTGTTTAGGTGGGGATCTGGCCTGAACTCATTATATAGATAAACTTTGGTTTGTTTGTTTGTTTGGGTTTTTTTGCAATATATATATATGCTGGTTTGTTAAGAATTGACCTGAGACCAGGGTATAACCTCTCCATGCAGAATTTGGATGTTAAATTACAATCTGTGCTGATCTGAAAAAGATTAGAGCTGAAAGTGCATGTTACCCACTAGATTTACCTAGCCTCTTTGTGTATAAAATATTTAAAAACATAATAAATACATGACAAATTAAACTGAGTGAGGATGAACAAGTTTTATTTTTCGAATGTTAGATGTTTTTAGAGAAGGTAAATGAATTCTTTATAAGAAGCCTTTGATTTTCATAAGTCAACTGCAGGAGAACTGCAGGGGGGGAGGTGCTAATTTTGGTTTGGTTTTTGCTCATTTTGTTAGTTTCTCTTCTTCATCCTCTCTGAGGGCAGGAAAAGGGCTTGTTGCCTTGGTGGCAGCTGCAAACTGTCCTTGGCTGCCAGGCAGCGTGCGGCTGCTTCTCGCCTGTTTGAAGGACAAACTGAAATGTTGACAGGAGGATTACGGCTGCATGCTGCATGGATGTATTGGATGCCCCAGATCTGGACTGTGTCATCACTGCTAAAGCAGATCAGTGCCCTCCTGTTCCCTCCTTCAGGGCTCCAGTAATACAGAGGATTTACTGACTTTTTTTACACCACTCCTGAGGCTTTGACTTTTGCATGCTTTGACAAATGTCTTTTCTATTTGAAGTATGACCGAGTGCTGTGAACTTCATTTTGAGTTGTTAAAGTCCTGTAGGAAATAGCTTTTTGATTATGTCTTCCTTTTTTTCCTCAAATCTTCTAAATATTGCAAAATAGTTTTATGTCGTGGTAGTGGGTTTATGTTTCATGTAGTAGTAGCAATTGGGTCTTTGCTGCCAGGAGTGCAGCAAAGGAAGCTGACATTGTATTTTCAAATGGGTTAATTTGTTGTACAGACCAGTAAGTGAGCTAAACCCTATATAACTTTGAAATACTCCTATGCAGAATGGAATGTATAGAAGCTTCCTGTGGATTCTGATGTGATGTTGATGTTTGCTACCTTATAACATCTGCTGGTACCTTTTTATTTGAGTGTTTTGGTTTCTACCCAAACTATTTGCCCATTAAAAGTGAGATCCTGAAGAAGGACCAGAGCTTGGTGGTACCTGGTTCCTAGTGCCAGCTGGGAACCAGGCATTTTCTATGACCTTGTCACTTGGTGGGTTAACCAAGCAGCCTGAGATGGTCTGTCCCAAAAGTTCTTGGTGCTGACTTCCACTTGCATTATTTTGCATTAAAAGAAAGAGAACAAGTAGACTCTGTTCAGGAGAACCCCATAAAGCCTCCAAATCATCCTCGGGTGCTAGTGTGGCTGTGTCACTGCACTGGATGGAGAGCAGGAGGTATTTGTAAAGGTTGAGAGGGAACTTAGGGGGTGCAATGTCCAAAGCAGTCCTGAAACCAGAGCTCAGGGGTGGTGGAGAAGATTGTGGTGGCTATATATTTGAAAACAAGTATGGAAAAAAGGTACAAGCAATTACGTTGCCCACTCGTGAAGCTAATTTCCTTGAATTCATTTTTCAATAATAAGCCCTTTTAAAGATTTTCTGCCTGTATTACAGTGTTGGATTTTGGAGTTCATAGATTTCAAGTTTTATTAACAAAACCTGATTTGAAATTCCTGTTGGGACTGTGTGCATATAAGCTTTTTGTGGGGCTGAAATATTTGAATTAGACTTCTTGTTCCTGACATTGTTATTGCCTTTTTTCCTCCCTCTTCCTGTATGGGCAATTTAAAATAAACAACTTCATAAATTCCTGAAAGGAATTAGCAGTGGAAACATAGCAGACTTTTATTGTTTTCTTTGAGAGCAGCTTTTCCTTTCTAAAATTAATCACAGTGTGAAATGTGCACACAGACATTAATCTCCAGGATGGGTTAGAGCAGTGCAGTAGAGCTGTTGGACTGAAT